TCGCCTCGGGGCCAAGAGGGAAGGCTTCTCCGCGCGCAGCGAAGCCGAGCTGGGAGCGGCCTTTCATCAGCCGAGCTCCCTCCCGGGACGCCAGGAAGCGCCTCCTCGCTCGCCGACCACGTGCAGCAATTCTGGTGCCCGCGGGTCCCCCGCGTCCCTCCCCCGCAAGTTCCCGCCCCTCTCTGAGCCTCGATCTGCCGGTCCGAAGAGCAGCGGCTTACCTCTGAGGTCCGGCTAGCCCATGCCTGATGCAGTCATGGGATCCGATGGATGAGGCAATCCTGGGGACTAGGAATTTCTCAGGGACTTGTTTTTAAATGAAAAATTATATGTGCACCGTATTGTTAAGATCGGTTTGGGGATCAGGCTACCTGAGCTCTAAGTCAGGTCTCCACTTTTTAGATATTTTTGGTAAAGTATTTTAACTTCTCTTTGCGTTAGTTTTCTATATAAAACATTATACCCTTTCGTGGGATTGTAGAAACCTGTAATGAGATAACCTGTGTGAAGTGTTCACAATCGCCAGATGGTAGCTGCTTCCTAGACTTTAGCTGCCACCCCCCACCCCCATCAGGATTTCCGAGGGGTCTACAGTGAAAAGTGCCCCCTCCCCTAGGAAAGCACTAACCTTGTATATTTTTCCACAGAACATATGTGGACAGGTGCACACGTGTGTATTTATACAAAAAGGAGCCTATTCTATTCTGTTAGACACCCTGCTTTTTCCCTTAAAGTTCCTTGGCATTCACTTCATGCCAAAACACCCCTGCCACTTTTTTAACGGGTACGGAGACCTCAGTAAGTTGTAGGAAGGCTCTCTTTCCTTTGCCGCCCCCCCCTATGTTTAACCCCAGTGGACATGTAGGGAGTTCCCACTCCTGCTCACAAGCCTTGCTGATGGTCATAGCCACAGTGCTGTGTACATGCCACAGCCTGCATTTCTACAGCTGAGTCAGGATGGAGATGCATTTTTAACTTCAACAGTTACTGCCAAACTGCTGGGGGCCTCAGACCACAGGACTTGGTTGGCTGCATGCTCATCCAGACACAGGTGGTGCTTGAGGGATTGAGCAGCTGAACAGCAGAAACTGTTCAGGCGCCCTCATTCACCAGGCAAGTGAAGATCGACAAGCATTTTACTGGACAGCAAGCACTGAGCAAGACACACCAGTGAGCCTTATTTCTCAAAACACAATTTGGTGGCATCGAAGCAAGAGAAGACCCATGGGATGTTGGAGCTTTACTAAGTGCTGAGAGGATGTTGAATCTGTTGACAGGTGTGCGGTCTAGTCACCATCTATCCAAATCTTGCCTCTCCAGCCAGGCCTACCTGTGCTAACCTGAGAGATTGTGAGAATTAAATGAGATGATGAAGTAAGTGCTTAGCAGAAAGTGCTCAGTGAAAGTGAGCTCTTCTTGCGCAGCAAGGCACCATGCCTTTTGCACCTCCGCACTACAGCACATGGCAAGGCCTGGCACTACAGCATGAGGGAGTGCGGACTACGTGTAGAATGGAGAAAAGTGAATAAAATCTAGTAAAAGGTAGTATCTAGTAGTCTGCTGGAAAGCCGACTTCAGTAGTGCTATCTCAGTGGATTCACAAGGCTCTATGTGGTGGGCCCAAGACCCTCCGCACCCCAGCCTATCCTGTACTGATCTTTACCCACTGTTCCCCAACCCCTAAGGATGCAGAACATCTCAGTTCCTCCTACACCTCATTCTCTCTCACTTCCACTTCTCAGTGGTTGCCATCCCTTGCCATCTGGAAGGTAACCCCACACCCCATCCCGGCTTTACCACCCAACCGACATTCTTAGGTCTCAGCTGAAAGGACCCTTCTTCTGGGATTCCTTTCCTGTCCTGGGCCCAGGCCAGTCCCCCATTCTCAGTTACCCTTGCTTAACCTACGGCCACATCTAGCAGACAGTATAGTGACTGTTTTCCATGTCCCATTTCCCAAAGAGTATAAACCTTTGGGGAATAGGACTGTTTCTGCCCATGCTCATAGCTGTCCTCCAGCTCCGTGCCTTCAGTATTTGTTACATGCATCTGAATTAGTGAACAGCTAGCTATGAATGAAATCTTCAGGGCCTCAACTACAGATAAATCCAAATCATCATGTGCTCCGTAACGACAGACCACATACAATGGTGGTCTCAAAAGATTATAATGGAGCCTAGGTATTTAATAGGTTATACCACACAGGTTTTTATAAGTGCACTCTAAGATACTTGCATGGTGAAATCACTTAATGACAAATTTCTCAGAACATCTCCCCATCATTAAGCAACACATGACCAACCACAAACCCCAGCCAAAGCCACCCTTACTGAGAAGTTACACCATCTGTCCTGCTGTTTATAAGGGTTAGATCTGTGTTTAAGGGCCAGCTGCCAACTACCCGGCAACCTGGATGAAGTAAGGAGGAATGAAATTCTTCCCAGCCTGGCAGAACCTTCAAGCATGGCAGCCCATGGGACTGGAGCGCCTCAGAATCGCTGGATGAGTAAATAGCAAAGATCACACATTGATCGTTTTTTGGAACTGGTCTGCCAGTTATAGATTTACTTTCTAATTCTTTTAGAAACATTCTACTTGAAACGTTGCCATGGCCTAACAAACTGAACTGAATCATATAGCAATTTAGGCTGGGAAGTCAGACCTGGATTCAAATCCAGCCTTGGCCATTAATTAGAGCTATCTTAAAATGTTTTTCCAAAAGCATGTCCCACAGAATGTTTTGTTGCTAATTAATGGCTCTATTAAATTGATTCCAAACCCTGGAAGTCACATCACATAATGAGTACCCCACCACGATACACACGAGAACTTGGGACTAAACACACAGCTGTCCTTTTCAGGAATGTACAAGAAGACAAGGCACATGCCGTCAGGAAAACTGGGTAAAAACGAGAATACTCTAAATTCCTAACAGTGGGGCCAACAACCCCCCTGAAGTGTCAAGGATCCATTTCTACACTACGTGCAGTAAGACTAGAGCCGCGGAGGTGGGAGCACTCTCTCTAACCTGCAGGGCTATTGGAGGTTCACGTAAAGTGTCTGGCACATAGGCCTCCCTCACAAGAAGCATGCAGAGATTCAATATCCAGCGTCTGATGAGTTGCTTCATCTTTCAGAACCTCAAGACTTTTTCCACCCAGAAAAAGGAAGTGGTAAATCTTCGGGGAACTTGTTATGTTACACGTAGGGTCTGGCTTACTATAAGCTGTTTTATGCCTTTTTTCACAAACTCGAGTAGGTCTTAGCTATGGTCAGAGTTTATTAGATGTCCAAATTGAAATATCAAATAAGTAATTTGAGAACTCTAGAGTTTTGGAGCGCTCAGTTGAAGATATAAGGACCTTCGATATAGATGGTATTCAAAGCCAGGAAATGTAGATGGTCTCTGCAAGGGAATTAGTGTAGAGAAGTTCAGGAACAAATCTTAGAGAAAAAGAGGAACAAGAGATTGAGACGCAAAGTAGCATATCACTGTAGAAGCCAAGAAAGTGGATCAAGAAGGAATAGTCAATTAGCACAGCAAAGGAAACCAACAAAACAAAAAGACAATCTACTGAATGAGAGATGTTTGCCAATGATACATATAATGGATTAATATTCAAAATATATTAAAAAACTCATACAACTCAACACCAAAAAAAGTGTTAAAAAATGGACAAAGGACCTGAACAGGCATTTCTCTTAAGAGTACAGATGGCCATTAGACATATGAAAAGATGCTCAACATCTCTCATCATCAGAGAAATGCAAATTAAAACCACAGAGATTATCACCTCACACCTGTCAGAATGGCTATCATCAATAAATCAAAAAACAAGTGTTTGCGAGGATGTAGAGAAAAGGGATCCCTTGTGCACTGTTGGTGGGATGGCAAATTGGTACAGCCACTATGGAAAAGAGTTTGGAGGTTCCTAAAAATTTAACAATAGAACCTTATGACCCAGAAATTCCACTTCTGGGTATTTATCCAAGGAAAACCAAAACTAATTCAAAAAGATATATGCACCCCTATGTTCACTGCAGCGCTACTTAAAATAGACAAGATATGGAAGCAACCTAAGTGCCCATCAAGAGACCATCGGATAAAGCAGCTGTGGTACATATATATAATGTAGTATTACTCGGTCATAAAAAAAAAAAAAAAATGTAATCTTACCATTTGCAACATGGTTGGATCTAGAGGGTGTTATGCTAAGTAGACAAAAAAAGATAACTATCATATGATTTCACTTATATGCAAAATCTAAAGAACAAAATAAACAAAAAGACTCATAGACACAAACTGGTGATTGCCAGATAGGTGGAGGGGTACTGGGGTTGGGGGTAGAAGGTGAAAGGGTTATGAAGTACAATTTGATAGTTACAAGAGTCACTGGGATGTAAAGTACAGCACAGGGATTGTAGTCTATAATATTGTAATAACTATATACAGTGCCAGATGGGTTCTAATAAATCACTTTGTATTTATATATAAGTCTAACCACTATGCTATACACATGAAACTAATACAAAATAATATTGAATGTCAACTCTAATTGAAAAATAAAAATTTTAAAAATTTTAAATGTAAATATGCTAATCAAAGTGCCCTTTCAACTCTTAAAAAAAAAAACAACAAAGGAATAGTTGACCCCATCAAACAGTGCTGAAGGTCAGGTAGGAAGAGGACTGGCCTTCTCAATCTGGTCATCACAAACAACAAAGGAATAGTCGACCCCGTCAAACAGTGCTGAAGGTCAGGTAGGAAGAGGACTGGCCTTCTCAATCTGGTCATCACTGCAGACCTTGACAAGCAGTTTCAGTGGAGTGGCAAGTGCTGATCGGAGTGCTTTGACAGTAAAAAATAGAAGAGCTCATATAGATAACTCTTTTGAGGAATTCTACTATAAAAATAGAAGTGAACTGAGGTCAACCAGGCCCGAGTCATAGAATTTTTAAAGGCCATCTAATTCTCTTCTACTGTTTCAGAACAAGCAAAGAAATTCCACAATGTTCTCCTTCAACTGTTTCTACCTACCAGAAATTATTTTGCAGCCGAAGATTTTCAGCTAATACAAGGTTACAGGGCATCTAATTTGTAAATGCTAGTGTGAAGTTCCTGTAAGGCATTACACATATCAGTCAGCCTACCAGGAAATAAATATCCTTGATAACTTGCCCAAAGCTGCCCCAGTACAGGATGCTCTAGAGAAAAGGCAAACTGCAGACTTACTAGCCGCTGTTTTTCAAAACGGCTATTCGGTGAAATCACAAGTGACTCTTCCCTTCCTGCTAAGATGCAGACCATGAACATTTTCTAAGTATGTGTGTGGATGTGTGCAACACATGCTATTAATTTCCTAAGTGAAATTCTGCAGATATATGGGTCAAAGTATACTTTGTATTGTCAAAAAAAAAAGAACCAGAGGGGAAAAATGCATGACAGTCTTTACGTTTAATGATTATCAGTATACCAAGTAATAACATGTAACAGGTTCTCGAATTCTATCATCTACTAAATTTGACTAAGAAATAATAAAAGCAGCCCAAATAATTATACTAGTATACACTGTTCTAACCCTTATGCCAAAAAAGAATATTTTAAGGCTGGCTGCTGCTTTACATAGGTTACAAGTAACTATTTACTACTTTTTCATAGATAAAGCCCCTGACCTTCAAGAAAGCTTTAGGGGAAAAAACTGAATCCCTTTCTTTCTTAAAAACATTGTTTACTACATCTAAGAAAGAAAAAGTCAGTATTGACAGAGAGAGAGATTGCTTGAGCTAAAAGGCATAGGAAAACAGACAACATGTACCCTTAAATTTCTAAAAAATATGAGGTAAAAAGATGAAATCTTTGGATAAGCTCAAAGTTTATACAAGAAGCTAGACTTGCTTTTCTCCAAAAAAGTAAAAGGACCTACTATATAATGTACAGAAAATAATTTAATGCCTTTCACATGAGTATAACTCAAGCTTTGCAAAAGCTTCATATTCCATGGGGGCATCTAAAATGCCAATCCATGGAACAGGCACTTCTTTCTTCCCTTATCCATTTATGCGGTAGTTTTCATGGATTTCTGGCCGGATGTCACAGACAAAGGCCAAGAGGTTATCCAGGACTTCATCTCTGTTCTGCTGGAAGTAGTTCTGGAGAATGGCCATCTTCTCTTGGGTGTTCTTCTCCACTTCAGTGCTGCAACTGCCATGGGATCCCAGAGCCTGGAATTGGGAAGCAAGGACACACAGGGAACATCAGGATGACGTTCCGGTTAGCCAAGAACAACACTTCCGGTAAGCAACTTCTATACTTTTAGAGAAACCTGTTCTCATCACTGAATATATCATCAGCAGTAAGCAATGTAGCCTCATGACTGAGGAGCATGTGGGAAACTGGCATTCCCAGTTAACAGCATAAACTGATGCAATCACTTTGGGAGCCAACCTTAAAGTATCTATCAAGAAGTAAACTGCACAGCATTTCTACTGCTAGGAACTTCCCAGAGAACAATGTAGTCACATCTCTGTAGAGTCTAATGCATAGCCTTAGCCACAAACACTGGAATGAACCTAAAGGCCCTACAACTGAGGACTGTTCAAACAAATGATGGACTAGAGAACACTCTTCAGCCATTAAGAGATAAGGAAGACTTGTCTACCAAGGTGGCATAAATTGTAAAATATTCAGTTTTAACAGGGAAAAAGCAAAAATGGTATTATTATAAGTATCCTGGTGTGTTTTTAAAATAGGGATATATGTTTTTATTTATTTATTTATTTTTAACTCTTAAAAATAAACACAAGGGCACAAGGGAGATGCAATTTAGGAGGAATGTACAGTTTCACTATTACTGGTTAACGTTTTAGCTCTTAAGTTCAGCAGTGAGTTCACCGATATTATGAATGAATAGCACCTGTTCTATCATATACAAATATTCTAGAATAATACACAAGAAACTGCTAACAGTGACTCTCTCTGAGGAGGAGTGCAGGTCTGGGTGGGAGGAAAACTAACTCACTGATGCCCTGTTTTACTGCTGGTACTGTCTGCCATATGCAAGCCTCACCCCCTAAATCTCCATTCACAATTTAACACGCGCTGATCGATAAAGTTTCTTTTACCTTCTACTGTCTTCAGAGTATGGCCGACTTTTTGTTAACTGCTGTACCTACGTTATTAGAACATGACCTATCAGGTTCTTAAAGACTTAACTTTTGTGTCTGACCCTTTATATGGTCTAACCTGTATTGCCTCGTTATACATATTAACAACTATATCTGTTCATATTTGTATGAACCTATTCCTCCACGACCAATGAGGAGGCAATCACTCCCCTTTCCACAGATGAGGAAGCCAGGCTCAAAGAGGCCAAGATGAACATGCTAAGATTCAAACGTAGGGCTCTTCATCCTGCACTGTAACTGTTCATATTATAGGAATGTCCTGGGGCATCTCATAACGGTTAGTTCAGTTGCTAATTCATGTTTAAAAATCCATCAACTCCACTAGCTCTATTCTATGAATATAGCTCTATTACATTCTCTGAATGTAAACTATATGCCAAACCCCAGGAAGCTGTCTCTAAACTGAAGAGGTTACGCTGGAACGCTGCTAGAAAAACCCAGAACTCAAGCTTACAATGCAATACTGTCTCTATAACCAACTGCTGCAGTGATGTAAAAATGAGATGAGACAGCCGCCCTGACAAGAGCATTTCTATACTGTTCTATGGGCAGCCTGACAACTTACAGCACCAATCTGCCCCAGTTTAAGAGTCTGGAAAACATTTCAAGTTTTAATAAAACCATCATCGTTCAATGCAAAGATGAACAAAACTTTTGCTACTTATTGCTAAGAGGGAGGCATGTGCCTTTAATCATTGGACTTGGACCTGGGAGTGTGTGCGCTTGGAACCAGCAATGTAGAACTTGAGAATGAAGCCCACATGCCAAAGGCAGACTCGAGAGATGGAAAAGAATCCCTGGATCATTATTTAAGCTTTTGGATCAAAATAAAGTTAGCCTTCATCTCGGTTTTTCATTAATTTCCATTTTGCTTAAAACAGTTTGAAATGTTTTCTGCTATCTATATCTAAGAGTCCTGATAGTTTCTTTTCTCTGAAGTGCTCCTCCATCCCTTCCCCTTTCCAGAATTTTCCTTGCTTCCTTTGTATCTCTGTGATGTTTCTGTACTATTATTATATGTATCTTCTGCACAGCAGTTTGGCCTATACTACTGGTAAATGTCTTTACACTAAAGTGGAGCTCTGCATGATTTATGTGTATGACTGCCACCACATTTTTCACGGCTGCAGGTGTGCATGGCCTGATTTCATTATTGAGTCTCCCTGACCACAAAACTGTAAGCTAAGCTCCAGGAGGGCAAGTCTACACTGTTCCTAGCTCATCCAAGCATCTGACACAGGACCTGGCACGTGTTAACTGTTCGACAGACACTTGCTAAATGACTGAACACTGAAGACTAGGATTTAATGTTAGTTAAAAACTGATCACCCTAAGAGATTCAGCCTGAGCACCCAATAAAACCTATAAAACATATCCAATAACCAAATTTTCAAAATTTGACCAGAAAGAGAATTTCCAAGCTATGCTAGATATTTTGAGAGCCTGAAGGGAACGGAAGGGAAGGAGAGGGAAGACTCGGGAACCTAAAGCAATAATGAAAAATAAACAGGGCCCACCGCAGCTTCCTTGGCCTTGAACTCCTTCTCCCTCTGCAGGCGGTACTGTTCAATTTCAGCCTGAGCCTCTTCTTTGGCCTGCTTCAGCCTCCGGTTCTTTCCTGTTTTCAAAGGAAAGAGCTACATCAGGAAGTGATTAAAAGTAGAAGAGGAAGCAGAGATTGAGATGGTAAACAGTAATGAAACCAAAGAAAAAAGTTTCAGTCCCAAGAGGCATGCATTAGAGAGAAGGAATTCAGAGTTAATAGTATAGGTTCCTACCTCCTACAGGCTGTATTTAACTAGAAAGTGACTAGATAAAAAGGATTGTGTTCCATAACTATAGACCGTAAAAATGACGGGAAAAAAACAGAATGTGTTAGAACAGGAGTAGGCCCTGGATCTGTCAGTGGCCTGTTAGGAACTGAACTGTACAGCAGGAGAGTGAGAGGCAGGTGAGCAAAGCTTCATCTGTATTTGCAGCCACTCCCCAATGCTAGCATCACCCCTCAGCTCCATCTCAGATCATAGCACATTAGATTATCACAGGAGCACCGGTCCCTGGTGCCAAAAAGGTTGGAGATCACTGTGTTAGAATAGTCTCCCAATCTCAACTAAGAGCCAACATCAACTGGATGAATTGATGACATCAGCCATCTAAGGAACTTTTCCTCTTTGTAAGAAGTAAACACCTAAGTACACCACTCATTACAATTGGAGCTCTACTTAGAAGCTTAGCAAGGAGACTAATATGCTCTTGAGGGACATCAACCTACAATCTAACTTATGAAGCAGATGATGTAATATTGGAAACTAAAAGCCATGCCTGTGCTCTAAGCAGTAATTGTTATGGAAAAATCCCGAAAGCTCCAAAAATCAGACCAGTGAAAATCCAAGGATTAACCCAGAGAGAAAGAGAAGTCAGTTTTATTATGCCAGTGGTCTCAGAAGAGCTAGTGCTCTAAAAATCTGGGCGCAGAGCTTAGGGGCAATTTCACTTTTATACTCACATTGTTACAGCTGGCACGGGCTGATTTACAGACCCCTGAAATTGCTATGGGCTACGGGCAGTTACAGAGCATGGGATTTTCTAACAAGCACTAAAGCAATACATCTTTAGGGGAGGGTGAGTTTTCAGTTGACCCCAAGATCTTTGGCCTATGCAGCAAGCATGTTTACAGAGGCAGAAAAAAAAGGACTAGAAATGTTGGCCAATTAAGTGGGAAATTCCTCTTCATAATGAAAGTGGTACCGGGAAGGAATCCTACACAGACAGCACAGGACAATAAGACCGTACAAGTACCTAAGAAGTGAGGAGACACAGGGTCTGTTTCTAGAAGAGACTAGTTTAACACACAGCTGGAAAAATTCTTTAGGTGCTATCAGAGCCTGCATAAAAACAGACCACAAGACCAACCAACAGATAGATACTCTTTACTTTGATTTTCTGCTTACTAATCAAACTTCAGATACACAAATGCAAAAAAAAACAGAGGGAGGTCCCACTCATTTATTTAATTCTGAGCAAAAAACCATCTTGCATCTAAAAGTAAACTTTACTATACACCACTGTATATCGATTGCCCAAATCCCACTCGAACCATGATTAGGAAAGAATCTTGGACACCTAATGACCCCATGACATCAACACTCTAAGCACCCGAAAGACTAATTCTCCAACTATTAATTTACTTCAGTACTACTGCTGTCCACTCAAACCAACCTGTACCCCAGTGCTCTACATGCTCTCGTCCTCATCAGCTATACTCAAAGCCATATTTCAAAGCCAAGTGTCTTTTCCAAACAATCTACAAGTAACATTTATGGCCTGAACATTATGCAGTAGCTCCACATAATTTCACAATATCATTCTCTGATCACTCCCAACTCCCATGGCTCCCTGAATCAATCACTTAAGATAATACACTCTCTGTCAGTGAACAGGTCCAAAGTTCAATTTTGATAGCCTCCTCTGAAAACCAAAACTAAATATTTCAACAGGAAACCATATTCCTTCTCAGTCTTCTTTTTCATGGTCCTTGCATATGGGAGCCAGTGTTTTTGTTACACGCCAATGAAATAAACCATAACACAATTTAAAAATATATATTATGGTCCAAAGCAATAATGTCATGAAAATTTAAGCTAGACCATTTTACCACATCATGTATTGCCTCTTCCCAATTCCTAACTGGACAAGTCAATTATAATTACAGATCAAGAAAGGCAATATATATACATATATTTTTTAACTGTAGCCCTTCTCAACACTTCTGTTCCTAGTTATTGCAGATTCTGAAATGTATATTAGCCATAAACTCTTTTAAACCAAATTCATTCAGGAAATATGTAATAGTTGTTTAGCTATACAAGCCCCTGTACCAGGCTTGATGAGATAAAGGCGTAAAACATGAGCCATTTCTCCAAGGCACAAATAATTATTCTTAACAAACTCTTAAGTATTTGTTCCTACATTCCCCCCACATAGTATCACATGCTTCCCAAGAGATAAAATTTCGGTTACTGATGAGCCATCACAGCACAAACTCTGAGAAGTCATTCTGGAAATACTGTATCAAAGGCATAATCAGAAATGTTTTGTGAACGAACTTTCCAAACTTTCCAGTCGCCACAGCAAGAATAAAAGGCTTGGTCCCATTCCCAGCTCCCTTAAAGGAAACTTTTCCTATGAATACAGAGTATCACACAACCCCTAACTGAGAAAGTATAAGAGCCTTGTACTTGGGTATGGGAGAAAAGTGTAAGTCTTACACTTCGGAGAAACACGAAGGAATTACTAAAACTAATATTTCTTGGTATTTTACTCCTGCACAGGAAAGGGGGCCTCTAGGCTCCAGCTATGCTGCTTCCCAGGGTATGGTCAAATTTCTCTCTGAGCCTCATTTTTCCCCTGTGAAATAGAAATAGAAGTATCTATCTCACCAGATGGGAAACTGAATACATATTAGATGGTCCCTGTTCTCCGGAAGTTTACTTAGTCAAGTGACTGAGCCATATGAAAACACAGGTTAGGGCACTGCGATGACAGAAATAAGCATCTGGGAGGGACGCCTAGCCTGATGGAAGAAGGTCAAGTCAGGGAAGGCTTCTTGGAAGAACTGCTGCTTCAGTTCTGAGATCTGAAGGAAAGCTATGGGTTAGAGAACAAAGAGAGGAAACTGAGAAAAGGCTCCTCCAGTCCGAGAAAACAGCTATGCAAAGGCTTTCAGGGAAATCAACTCAGGTGCCACTGAGGAATCACAGTGGTTCACTAGTCTGGAGGAAGTGACATTAGGGAAGAAAGCAAGAGACATTCAAAAAGTGCCTCCTACAACCTAATAAGGAATTTGGACTTTATTCTGCAGGCACTAAATGTTTGCTGGCTGAAAAGGTGATAAAAAGTCATATTTGCATTTAGAGGGATGACTAAACTGCAGGAGGAGAATGGGCGGACGGGAGGAGAGGTAACTTCTTCCACCCACCAGTCCAGATTAGATCCACCTGTTAAATTCTTTAGCAACCTCGCATTTCTCAACTCCAGCCCTCACCTCACCTGCAACTAACCTATCCAGTATCTGCTTCCTTCACTAGGATTCTGAAAACCATGACCATGGAGACCATAAATACACCGGGCACCGAGTTTGGCACATCTGCCGCATTTAAAACACATTTGAGGAATCAACGAAATGAGCTTGCTGCGGGAACCTCAGAGAAGCAAGTGTCCTAGATTAATAGACTGCGTGGGGGTAGGGACGGGGTAAAAGTGAACAGATATATAAACCTTGGCGAACGAGGGAGGGAGATGTGGCAAAGTGAACTCTGTCTCGAGACTAAGCAACTGTGTAGACAGTGGCTCCCTTCACTGAGACCGAGCATCCCAAAGGGGCGAGCGGGAGGGGGAAAGCCAACGAGTTCGGTTTGGATAGCCATTTACACGCCTCCGAAACACCAATAAAGACGCCCGGCCACTGTTGTCTCCACGCCAGATCTACTAGCCCACAACGCAACTTCAGTCTACCTACAACCTTCCAGAGGCTCAGATTCATAAAGCTTCGACACATACAAGCTTCTGCGACTGTAACCGCCCACACCTCCACCCGCAGCGTTTCGGGCCGCATCCACCCACCACGGCTCGCGGCCTGGCCGCGTTTCTTGGACTTGCGCCACCTGGCCGCCCCACCCCGAAACTCACGTTTGCGGGCCTCGGACACCTTCTCGGCGGCCCGCTTCTCGGCCTGCAGCAACTGCTGGATACCCTGCGACTGACTAGCCATGGCGGCGGCGACGACTCCGAAACCAACGTGAGCGGCCTAAATCCGCTCCCTCGCCCCACAGGTCAGCTGATCCAGCTGCCCAAGCTCTGCGCCTGCGTCCCAACCGCTGCCACGTGACCTCTGCTGCGCGGTGTCAGCTGACTGCGCTTGGTGTCCTGTGACTAGGCGGGAAGGGGCGGGGCGGGGCGGAGGAGCGGAGAACGCAGCGCCTCGACTGCGCCTGCGTGAGATTTGTTTTCTTGTCTTTCCTTCTCACAGCTGGAACGCTTTTCAGTGCTGTCGTTCCCTTACCAGTTCGATTCATGTGGGCGCCCTGGCACGTCACTATTGCCATTTTCCCTCGCTTTACAGTATGCCCGCATGAAGGTCCAAAGAGGAGGGGCCAACCCAGATCACTTTCCTCTATTTTGCGCAGTAATACTCTCCCCCTTTCTGGAACTTTCCTTGATACTCAAAATACATTGGGGGCAAATTAGGAAAAATTTGGCCAGGCTCCGAGGTTAGAGTGTGGATTGGGAATGGGATGACTTAAGCTTAAATCTGGCATCAGGCTGTGTGATTTTGGGGAGGACGTATTTCTCTTTTGGAACCCAAGTTCAGGGAAGGATTGAAGTGTTTCCATGAATATTTAGTGAATTACTGCTGTGATCCTAAACCACTGGTGTATTTACTGGTGGTAAATACAGCAGAGAGCAAGACAAACAAGGTGATGTGCACATTTTATGGACAAAAAAAAAACATTAAATAGAAAATTACGAACTGATTAATAAAGGAAAAACTCAGGATGCTTGAAGAAGGAATAAGGAGAGGGGTTTGTGGAGGTGTCTGTGAAGGTCCTCCCAAGGAAGTGGCATTTAAAATTAAATCAGAAGAATGAGAAATTAATTAGCCAGGAAAGAATAGTGGGCAGTGGCAGGGTGGCTGGGGTGATTAGGGGGAAAGGGATCAGCAAGCCTAGATTGGGGTGGGGCAACTTGGCACAGAGCCATCCTCCACCAGGAATAGGGAGATAGGAAGCCAATGGTTAATTTATAGTATGACAGACACTGTCTTAAACATTTGACTTACTCCTGACAGCAACTTCCAGGTAGTGTTACTACCCCCAGTCTGTAGTGATCAAATTGAAGCTCAGAGAGTTTAAGTGACTTGCCCAAAGTCACACTTATGTTAACTGTCAGAATACTCTAAGCCAGCCAGGGCTGCAGAATAGAACATTGGACGCACCATACTCTTCTGCTAGAATCTTGTGGGCTATGAAAGGGTCTCTGAGAGTCCACCAACTGTTGAGAACATAAAATAATGTCAGAACTTTTCTTCATAGAAATATCTCTGCACTCAAGGAGGAGCTGGATTCATGGCTCAGGGCATCTTCATTTGATAGAGTTTAGAGATGGAGTAGGAAAGGAGGCAAAACTCCAGAACTCCTATTCTTTCTTCACATAAGGACCAGCACTTGACTGGTCTCAGGGCTTTTAAGTCTAGTCAATGATTTCGTGGGACAATTTGTTATATTTGATGTTCTAAGAAAATTAATTTACCAAATCAATCAATGGATAATTACACATACTTCTAAGAGTGGGATGAGGATTATGAGAGATAATGGTAGTTAAGAAGTGGAAACACCCCAAATGCCTGTCAACTGATAAGTGGATAAATAAAATGTGGCATATGATTTGCTTATAAAAAGGAATTTGGATAGACCTCAGTAACATTGTGCAGAGTGAAGGAAGCCAAGCAGAAAAGACCACATATTGTATAGTTGCATTTATATGAAATGTCCAGAGATCTATAGAGATAGAATCTATAGGGATAGAAAGGAGATTAGTGGCTAACCAGTGGCTGGGGGAGAGAGAATGAGGAGTGATTACTAAGTGGTATGGAGTTTCTCTTGGGGATCATGAATTAGAATGGAATTAGATATTGGTGATAGTTGTAGATCCTTATGAATATACTTAAAACACCAAATTGTATGCTTTAAAAGTGTGACTAGTGCAGTATATGAATTACGTCACAGTAAAGTTGTGATGAAAAGAGTGGGAGAGAATGGATGTGAAGCCCTTGCACAGTAAGTGCCAGAAAATGGAAGCCCTTTTTTGTTTTTTGGGTTTTTTTAGTCGGCTAGGGGGTAATTTTTGATTTACAAATCTGGTCCTCCACTTAACAAAAGCCTTCACATCAGGGTTCCTTGAACAACCAGCTTCCTCAAAGCATCTAAATATCTACAAATTCCAGACATTTTTTTTTCCTCACAGCATTTCAAAAGTTTATTGTGTAAAGAGAGAAACAGACAATTCGTTCTCAGAAATTTTCAGACGCTGTTGGACTTTCTGGTTATCTGAGTGGGTGCTTGTTGTCAGAACTTGGGTACACTGGGGAGATGTCCCGCAATAACTAGGAAACGAGGGCAAAGCAATGGCCCTCCAACGGAAGGTTTGAAGTTTTGAGCCAGCCAGCCAGAACAAAGATTTGCAAAGTCATCTGAAGAGCACAGAATGGATTCCAGGCCTTGTACCCCTAATAAGGAAATGGATTAGCAAGGCTAAGAAAAGAATGTGCCCATTCTGAGGTGTGGCTGTTCAGATATAAGCCGGAATTCAAGAAAAAGGAGCAATAGATATCTTTACAGGCCCCAGGTCAGCAGAGACTAAAGAAAGTGGGGTCTCTTATGACCTTGGCTAAGGGAACTAGACAGCCCTGTCATTTACTTACTGGGTAACTTCAAGCAAAGTACTTAATCTTTGTGAGGCTCAGGTTTCTCATATGTTAAAAATGGAGTTAATAGTATAATAGGGTTATTGCTAGGATTAAATTAGTTAATATTTATTTAGTCCTCCCTTGGTATCTGTAGGGGATTTGTTCCAGGACCCCCAGGGATACCAAAACCTGGGGATGCTCAAGTCTCTTATATAAAATGGTGTAGTATTTGCATATAGCCCACTCACATCCTCCAATACACTTTCAATCATCTCTCAATTGCTTATAATACCTAATACAATGTAAATGCTAGGTAAATAATCAGTATATTATTCAGGGAATAATGACAAGGGAAAAAGTCTGTACATGTTCAGTTCAGACATGTACACATCAGCAATGTAAGCTTTTTCCCAAATACTTTGAATCCATGGTTGGTTGACTCCATGACTGCAGAACCCACACATACGGATGGCTGCCTGTAACTAGCTTAGACTGTACTACTAATAGTAACATAAATATCTAGATCCCTGTGATAGAGCCTTCTCAACAAAAAATAACCAGTGGGCCTTTTGCTTTTATATATCAACCTAGTGTACTTGGTGAATGGAAGTTCACCTCAAAGTGACTGCCCTCAAGAGACTATATAGAGCCACTGCATATGGTTGAACAGATGTTCGCTGCACAAGGAAGAGACACTGTGCTAAAATCCAGCCCATGCTCTACTCTTCCCAGAGGAAGCATCTTTTTCTCATTAATTCGAAGGATCCTTGGAGCCAAGTAGTAGTCCTATTACAAAATGCAGGATGAAGGCCTGACCTGTCTCACGGGAAACTCATGGAGGAACTAAATACCTCATACCCACCCTAACCCCATCCCCTGGAGCCTCCTGAGAGACAGCTTCCTGGCCTCTGCTTATACATTTTCCACATTGGAATACTGACAATTAATAATTAATCCTTCCTCTCCCTTGATTTATAGTGAAAATAATTATAAAGAGACCAAGATTATATGCTCAAACTTTACCAGTGTTAGATATTTATCCTCTAAAGAACCCAGTTAGCTGTGTGTTGCTATGATAGTGACAGGGTTCAGGATACACCAATCTAAAATATGGCGCCTTGGCATATTGAATATTTTAAGCTGAAAGAATTTGAGAAGGCAAGTACAGGAAGGATTCTTTGACTTCCCCTGAAGCAAGTCATAAGACTATCATGTGAGACATGCCCTCTCTATACAAAGACTAAAGGAACACTCATCCCCAAGACCAAGGGACTCCAAAGTGAACTTGAACAAATGCGCCTTGCTAAGTTGCCCATGTTTACTCCACTTAGCTCATTCTCTTCTTGTCCTCACACGTTTTTCCATGACTTTCCACTCTTCATCAAACCTAGCATAAAAACACCCAGGTTCAACTACTTTTTTGGGTCTTTGTTTCCTATGAAGGCGTCCATGTCACTCTGAACTTAAAAAACTTGGATGCTTTTCTCTTGTTAAACCATCTTTTGTTACAGAGACACAGACAAGAACCTAAGTTGGATAAAGGAAAGATATTTTTCTTCTCCTACAATAGCATTTACTTCCTATTTCAACCTCTTCACAGACACTAGAGAGCTTGCGTGTAAATACCTCTTTTTTCTCAACCTTTGGATGGGATAATTCTGAAGCATACGCTTTGTATTGGGTTTTCCCAGGGATTTTACTCTCGCAATGTGTTAGCTACTTAATAATGCACCTGCCCTTCTTTGGGTTACTTTCGTACTCCTCTACCAGTCTGCCCTGCATCTTCCAAATGAAAACTTGCACTCAAGTCCTTGCTTCCCAGAGAAACCACACTAACCACCAGGCCCAACTGAATAGACAAGGATAGAGCCTTGATCCAAGACAGCCACCCATGGTTGGCCAAAACTCTAGTCTGTACATGATTACGATTAAGCAAAGCAACATGATTCTTGTTCTCAGGGAGCAGAGAAGGAAGAAACTAAAGTAGGAAAAAGAAAACGGCAACAGATAAGCTGGATCCTGGGAATGGTAGCCTGTGGCATTCTGAGGGAGGCCGATGGTGACTCTGTCACCGCCGCCGAAGTGCTTCCCTGGGCATGTGCATGTTCCTGTGCAGTTTTATAACAACTTCCACCAGCTGCGTCAACCTAAGCAGGTGATCCTCATAATCTTTATATAAAAAGTCCAATTCATAGGGGCTTCAGGGTCAAACAGACTGGAGTTCGGATCAGTTCTATGTGGTCTTTAGCAAATGGCCTAAGACTTTTGAGCCTCGGTTTCCTCAGTTCTAAATGGGATAATTCCAACCATCTCACAGGTATTCGTGAGGATTAAAGAAGTGCATGCCAAGCAACCTGGCAAATAGGTTGCTGTCAATAAACGTAGCTCTGTCCCTTACC